AGAGAGGGAGGGGGAGAGAGAGAGGGAGGGGGAGAGAGAGAGGGAGGGGGAGAGAGAGGGAGAAAGAGACAGATAGAGAGAGAGAGAGAGAGAGCGAGCGAGAGAGAGAGAGAGAGTGAGAGTGAGAGAGAGAGAGAGAGAGTGAGAGTGAGAGAGAGATTTCTTGGTAAGCGTTATATGGCATTTTCAACATAGGTCATACATTAGTAATGAAAATTAGAAGTGTTAAAAGAGAAATAACACACACGCAAAAAGGAGAAGAGATAAGGATGATAGAGTTGGCCTACTAGAGTTACTTTTTCTAATAATATTACGTCTTCCTTTTACCTTCAACTTTCTTTTACACTACTTGTGCTACACAAATTTTCCTACTTCTCTTTGAGTAATGTAGAAGGGCAGCAAATATGTCACATACTAGAAAACCACTCATCCGTGATTGTGGTTTGTTAAGAAATCATAGAGCCTTACATAAACCTTTTTTTCTCTCGTGGCAAGACCTCTCCGCACTTGTTGTGGTCCCCTCTACATTCCCCCGTCCGCCTAGGTCAGAACCCATCGAGCCAAGCGGCCCTGCCACGAGAATAATTACCTGGCAAGTGTTCATGTCACAGCCGTGGAGCTTGTTTGTATTTGGGACATAGCCAACCCGTAAACGCTTTTGTTGACAGACTAATAAAAAATCTTTTCAGTTTAAGTTCGGTAAGATTTTTAAGACGCTCAAAACTGTTAAAATTCTCTGCAGATAGACATGGGCAATCCTTTATTATTTTGTGCTGCAGTGTGTGTTTTGAAATAAGACATTTTTACTTAGTCTTGTAAGCCCCCAGCATTTCAGAAACCTTAGACGGATTCAACCAATAAAGGGAACGTCCTTAGTTTGAAAGGAAGGAGAACCTTGAAACTGGTGGCTCTTTGACATTAGAAAGTAGGGTTAGGCTGCGCCAAGTGGAAGAACAGCTTTTGGCGAGAGAAGTTTCTCATTTTTTAACCTAAAATTTGGTCCAGCTCAAAATAGCTGCAAAATTTGAACATACCAGTGTTGTTTTTCCTATTCAGCTCATGTTTCAAGACGAGCTCAACATACAAGACTCAAACCAAAATAATTAAAACTTGACTACGACTTGGAAAAAAGCCTACAATGTATCTTATTACACAATGTATCCTATTACACAAGGAAATTGCAGAATGTTCTTACCTGTGAATGTTCAGCTTGAAAATTCAGAAAACATAATGGCTTGAAATCACATTGTCAGTAGCTTCAGTTGTAATAGTGTGTTCCATTACACTTGAAAGGTAGCTGATAGTATACGTATCCAGCCAGAATTATATTTGTGATCATTTAAAACCTGTTGCATCAACAAAGCTTTATGAAAAGATGTTAAACCTCCTGACGGCAACCGACATGAACGAAGGAACAGCCAAGAGTGTGTGTGGACATGTGTGTGCCTTTTCTGTCATTTGTGATTGTGTGTGTATTTGTGTATGTGTGTGTTTTTTTAGTGTGTATGTCTATGTGTGTGTTAACGAGAGAGCGAGAGAGAGAGAGAGAGAGAGAGAGGGAGAGAGAGAGAGAGAGAGAATCAGAGTGAAAGAGAGAGAGAGAGAATCAGAGTGAAAGAGAGTGAAAGAGAGAGAAAGAGAGAGCATGTGTGTGTAGGCATGTATAGTGTATGTATGTATGTTTTCATGATCTCTCCTTCTTTTATGTGATTGTTACTCTCTAGTAACACCTCTAAGACAAACTTGTGTTGCAAATGCTGAAAAATATTTACTAAAACTAAAAACTTACTTGTTCTTGTACTTGGTGAGCCTAGTGAGAGTCCCTCGCTCCAGGAGTTTGTGGATAATCTCGTCTGCCTCCTCCTGACTCCCATCACAGATGTAGATACCCCGGGGCTTGAATTGTTGCACCTTTTTGTAGAAAAAAATCAAATTAGATTGAACAAGAAAGTTCCCATAAAGGTAGCCTACAACAACATTAAAACCCATGGCCACCTACTACTAAAAAGATTCTAAACTTTTGTGGGATCATTTAGAAATACAAGACATAGAACTAGAAAACACTGTCTTTTCATATGTTTGTGTTTTCACTATAATCAACCCCAGTTCGAGCTATGTTTTATTTGCTTGTTTTAATTATGTAAAGAGAAGCACAATGACAAAATAATGGTTGTTTAGTGCTGGGAAAAAGTAAGACAGACGGACAGAAGCAACACAAGAGGGAAAGTTAAGAAGCAGGACCTACCTGTGGCACGCTTCAAATATCTGTACCCAATTTGCGCTTTTATTAACATTAACAAAGCAGTAAAACAGAGAACATTGACAAAGCTGTAAAACAAACATTGACAAAGCAGTTTATCAGATATTAACAAAGCAAAAAAAAAAAAAAAAGAGAAAATACACTCACACAGTGGGCAACAAATCTCTGGACTTTCTTGGACAAGTGGGTGAAATCGCCCTTAGCCACCGGGACATGGCCAACTCTCTGCACCACAATTTCGTGCACTTCGTACACAAGATTGTCTTCTTCATTGCGTAGTGCCATTCTAAACAACACAAATAGAAATAAATTTTCTGACAAAACAGTTACATTAAACAAAAAAACATTAATGATCACACAATGGGATGATTAACTCTTTCTTTCCTCTGAGAGTTCTACCAATGGAATAACTTCAATGTTATCAATAAAATTTATAAAGCATATATGGATCCCATTTCAAATCATTAAAAGTAACCTGTTTGAGGACAAGCTGATGTTCCTGCACGATAGCTGTAGGGGGTGGGGGTGGGAGAGGGATTCGAGAGAGGGGTGGGGAGGGAGAGAGGTGCTGGGGAGGGAGAGAGGGGAGGGGAGGGAGCAGCGCTTCTATTGGCAACCTACCCTAAATTAATTTCCTTCTAACACCCATCCCCCCACCTTTTTTCCCTCACTAAAACCAGTGGCAGTGGAAGTTTCATGGCCAAAATTCTTTCTCTTCCTTCCCTGCACCTTCTGCTGTTCCTCCCTTTAACTTTATTGCTACATTTTTCTATCAGCAAGAACTCCACAAGTATGAGCTGACCTCAAGCATGCCCCACTTACTTACTAAACACACTAGCGTGTTATTGTATAGAGGCTAACTGTGGATGGACAATAGATGTGATTTGCTAGATCTACACGTTGTTGTTCTTTACGTCTTGACCAAGGTTAGCAGCGTGCAAACTGTGGCGGCCTTCACCTTGTTGAAAGAGCCGGTCAATGTTATTGTTGACCTGCAAGATAAAACAAAACAACACCAATCCACAACACATTGCTCAGCGCGCAATTGGCGAAAAAAGAGAGAAAGAGGGCGCTAATACTAATAATAATACAATGATGGACACGGTGCAACGCTTTGCACGGGGTAAAAAACACTACACATGGAGGCATCTATCAATGTTGTAATGTTACACTTCGGGATAGAAATCTAGACCCAGCCATTCTTTTCAGTCCACAACAGCGGCACCGGCGAACTAAAATGATCGGGGGAAAACAGCACTCACGGAAAATAAATCCCCTGCCTTCTAATGAACACGCAGTCAAAAACCATGAAATAAAAGATCGCACAGAGAGAAACAATGAAACACTCACTTGTTGTAGGAAAGACTGGAGATCGTTTGACAAACTACCACAACCTGCAGCTGCTGCTATCTGCTGGTCAATGGACCACTGCTCTTAGCGAGAGCGCAAGCCGCAGCAGAGCAGACGCGGAGTGAGGTCGCTGACCTTTTGGTAGCCTACGGGTCACATCCATAGACTTGTACTCCTAGATTGCGCACTGCTATGGACGAGCTCGACTCTGCAATAACTTCGTCGTGGAGAGTGTACACCTTGGGTCACGTAATTCCACCCGTATGACCCAATTTCGTCATGGTCCAATGTGAGCCGCAAATTGAGCCAAATAACTTGCAAACCCAATGCCTCTATAGCACCGGAAATATATAAGAGTTTTCCCCTCACACCTGAGTGTACAATCTAGGATGTCTATGGTCACAGGTCAATGGCATGGGGAAACTCCTGGTCGTCTCGTTCCAATGGGACCCCCGCTAAAAATAGGCCGTCTTCCCCGTAAACAGTTTATTTTTCCGCTCTATAGCCCACTTTTGTTGAATTACCAGACGTACGCGATAGAGATCAGATTATTGAAATGAGGTTAAAATTTAAAAAAAATATTTTTTTATTGTGGGGCCTACGTGAGGAGGTTGATTAGGCCAAGGTTAATGTTAGCATCTTTGATGTTAGATCACAGAATTCTACTAAGTGTAGAATTCTGTGTGTTAGATCCTTGGGCCAACGTGACTGCTGGTGTAGCCAGTCAGAGAAAGGGGAACGGGCCGGAGTCTCGTTCTTTCACGTAAATTTGATGACCCGTGCAACAGTGTAAATAGGCCTACTACCTTTTGTAACAATGCATATTGTTGAATTAGCAAACCGAGTGAACCTCTAGCTCACGGTTTACTTTGGTGTGTGTGTGTGTGTGTGTGTGTGTGTGTGTGTGTGTGT